TGGGAGACCCACAATTACAGACATCACACTGAATATTCCCTACGTCCACTGGGAACTGATCATATGTGTCGTCATGAGAATAGTTCCTGGTCTGACAGATAACCAACATGCTCAATGATCAGATTTCCTTGTGTGATCCTGTACAAGGATATCTTGATCATATTACATCCCATTAACAAAAACAACCACAATCATAGAAAGGCTGATATGACTTTAAACCAGGTCAACAAATTGAGATCCTGGTGACATGACTAAGATAGGGGGTTCACAGTTATTTCCCTTGATCAGCGAAGAAAAAACACCAAAAAGGATGACAATCACTTCGACTATATCTTTGTTTGTTTGTTTGTTGTTTAACACCATACTCAACAATATTCCAGCTATATGATGGCAGTCTGTAAACATTCGGGTCTGGACTGGACAATCCAGTGCTTGACATTATTAACATCGATCCACACAACTGGGATACGATGACATGCATCAACCAAGTCAGCAAGCCTGGCCACCTGATCCTATTAGTCGCCTCTTATGGCAAGCATGGGCTGCTTTAGTGTCATTTAGCGAAATTAAAAGTATTGGATGTAAACCTGGGTAATGTGATTATTTCTTTGAGCAAACTTCCTCTCGTGTCTCCTGAACAAGTTTGGAGAAGAGCATTGCAACGTAAGAATCAGAGAGCACCCCATATAATAACGATGGTTATTTTCCACCAATTAATTACAATGACATCTTGTACGACGACCCCCAATCAATTTCTGAAGCTCTTAATAATTATTTCACTGAAAAGTCAACCTTGAAATTTCCTGATAAAATTATTACTGATAGTATTGACACATTACCATATGACCCGTTAGGTCACATCAACTTTTCCACAGAAGAAGAATGCGACATTCTGCTTTCTGTTGACACGGGCAAATCCATTACAATTTCCGGATGGCATAAGTAATAAAATCTTGAAATTGATAGCGATGGATATTGCTAATCCCCTCCCTTGCCTGTTCAATGAATCTCGTAAACAATCCATATTTCCCTCCATATGGAAAGAAGCCTCAGTAATTCTTATCACAAGACAGGAAATAAAAATGTAGCAGTTCTAGGCCGCTAGCTCCTACAAGCTGCTTGTCCAAGGTCTCAATAAATGTGTATTGAAATATATTTCTAATTACCTCAGAGATAATGGTGTTCTAACTAATGTATAGTCGGGATTTATGCCTGGTGACTCTACAGCAAACCAGTTAACTTATTTATATAATACTATCGCTAATGCTTTAGATATTGGAAAGGAGCTCAGGGACGTATTCATTGACATTAATAAAACTTTCAATAAAGTTTGGCATAAGGGTCTGTTATTTAAACTATAAAAATATGGAATTACTGGTAACTTCTCAAAAGCTTACACTCATTTCTTTAAATTGAATACAACATACTGTTGTACAGGGTTCCTAATCTGATACTAAAACAGTTAAAGCCGGTGTGCCCCCGGGATGTGTCTTGGGCCTGGGACTGTTCACTGTATATGTCAATGACATTGTTGAAGGCACCAAAAGTAAAATCTGCTTTTTTGCAGACAATAATTCACTTTATTTCATAATAATAATCCAAAAGAAGCCACAGACTGCCTCAACAGTTGGGATAATTGCACTGTTGAGCAACGTAATAAGTTTGAGAAAGTGCACCTGGATGCATTAAGGACCATCTTTGGAGCTGTCCAGAGTACAAATCATAAGTTATACATTGAAACCAAATTTAAATAACCGTGAGAAGAAATATTTTTAAATTAACAATGTTTAATAAAATTATGCATAACTTGACACCAAATTACTTATGACAACTTATTCCTGAAACCGTTTCAGAATCATCTTCTTTATCATCTAAGAAATCAAGGTAGCTTGCAACTTATCCACTGCAAGACAACGTTTTTTGCTAAGACCTTACTTCCTGGTACTCTTAGACTATGGAAGTTACTGCTGAATGAAACTAGAAATTGCTCAATGCTTTCAGGCTTAAAGAACCTTCCAATTTAAAAGTTTGAACAAAGCTTTTACTGTGATGTTAATTATGGAACACAGTTTTGTCAAACGATACATGGTCGTCTCAGACTCCGGTGTAGCGAGTTAAATTGAACATGTTTACTCAACATCTATTGCCTCACTCTAACTGTCTCTGTGGTCATCAGTGTCATATGGGAGGAAAGCCCCAAGTGATGCAGGTCTTAGATGGTGTAGCGATATAGATTGGAACATGTTTACTCGACATCTATAGCCTCACTATAACTGTCTCTGTGGTCATCAGTGTCATATGGGAGGAAAGCCCCAAGTGATGCAGGTCTTAGATGGTGTAGCAATATAGATTGGAACATGTTTACTCGACATCTATAGCCTCACTATAACTGTCTCTGTGGTCATCAGTGTCATATGGGAGGAAAGCCCCAAGTGATGCAGGTCTTAGATGGTGTAGTGATTTAGATAGGAACATGTTTACTCGACATCTATAGCCTCACTCTAACTGTCTCTGTGGTCATCAGTGTCATATGGGAGGAAAGCCCCAAGTGATGCAGGTCTTAGATGGTGTAGTGATTTAGATAGGAACATGTTTACTCAACATCTATTGCCTCACTCTGTCTCTGTGGTCATCAGTGTCATATGGGAGGAAAGCCGCAAGTGATGCAGGTCTTAGATGGTGTAGTGATTTAGATAGGAACATGTTTACTCGACATCTATAGCCTCACTCTAACTGTCTCTGTGGTCATCAGTGTCATATGGGAGGAAAGCCCCATGTGATGCAGGTCTTAGATGGTGTAGTGATTTAGATAGGAACATGTTTACTCGACATCTATTGCCTCACTCTAACTGTCTCTGTGGTCATCAGTGTCATATGGGAGGAAAGCCCCAAGTGATGCAGGTCTTAGATGGTGTAGTGATTTAGATAGGAACATGTTTACTCGACATCTAGAGCCTCACTCTAACTCTCTCTGTGGTTACAGTGTGAATATTCTGTCCACTACTTTTTTGTTTGCCCTTCATATGATGATATGAGACAGAACATGTGTTATTATCTGAATGGATATGATCTTAACTCGGTTTTGTACGGCAACCCGCATAAATCTAAAGAAACTAACACAAAAATGCTTCAATCTGTGCATGATTTATCTTGTTTTCAGACAGACTTAAACAGCCATAACTTGATTTGTCACTATTTCTTTCCAGACCATATCATTGTATTCCTTGACTCTATGGATGTTCGTTTGTTCGTTCATTCAGCCGTTGTTTAACACCGCACTCATCAATTATTCAGCTATGGGACGGCAGTCTGTAAATAATCAAGTTTGGACCAGACAATCCAGTGATTGATAACATGAGCACCGATCCATGCAATTAGGTGAGTGAATCAAATTTCAATGTTGCATCAGCATTTTTTCACAGGCAACTAGGATACGATGACAAGCATCAACCAAGTCAGCGAGCCTGACCACCCGATCCCACTAGTCGCCTCTTACAACAAGCATAGTCACCTTTTACGGCAAGCATGGGTTGTCGAAGACCTATTCTAACCTGGATCAAGCTAATCATGTTATCCAGAGAGGCATTCAAATAAGCTCACTAAGTTTATTTGCCGATCCGGCCATGTATGTTCTCATGGAATAAATATGTTCAAACAAGAGAACATTCTTCAGAATCATATTCATAGAAATGTCTGACTTGCATTACCATGATAACACCTAGACAATTTATCATAATAACTTTGAAGCACTTACTCGATAAAGATTCTTGCACCTGTTTCGAAATATCGCATTGAAAGAATAAAGAAGTTGAGTGAGTGAGTGAGTGAGTGAAAGAGTGAGTGAGTGAGTGAGTGAGTGAAATCTAATTTAGCTATTTTTCCAAAACTGTATATATCATGAAATCCATAGTAATCAGTGTTTTGGGTAAGCATATGTAGATTGAATTTTGGGGATGATGGTTTATGTCAGTTGGCAGACGACAAATTGATAAAAAACATTCCATATTAAGTATAATGAATAAAATAATTGAGTACAATATCAGAGATAACAAAAAATGTAATTTGTATACCTGAAGCGTGATCACATGGCACATGCTATGTTAAACACTGGCAGTAACTGGTACAGATAGTCAATGGAAAAGCTCTATTTCCACTGTTTAGCATTTGATTCCCTCTCGTCGTGTTATAACAGGCATCTGCTCAAACTATTTTCAACAAACAGAAATCAGTGTATTTGCTCATAGTTTCACAAAAAACAGTCAGTTGTATACAGGGAATTTCAAAGAGAAAAACACAAATAAAAAAGCATTAACTGGTCAGCATACAATTAAAATATGCATTGTTAGGAAAATAGAAAGTGAGAATGTATCTCTAAATTTGGACTTGCCAGCTGTGAAGTAGTCTTGATAATAATAGTTATAATAAATGTGAGTACAGGTCACAGCGGACCCGTGAAGATCCGGGGTAGAATAGGTCTTCAGCAACCCAACTATGCTTATCTAAGAGGCGACTAACAGGGTTGGGTGGTCAGGTTCGCTGACTTGGTTGATGCATGTCATCGTATCCCAATATCATGATGTCAATCACAGGTTTGTCTGGTCCAAACTTGATTATTTACAGACCACCGTCATATAGGCTAGTTGGAATATTGCTGAGTGCGGCGTTAAACAAGAAACAAACAAAGCTACGGCTATATATGTTTTGCACATACAGAAATAGAATAAAAAATATTTAAATATTATAAAGGGTTTTATAAGGTTTATAATCACCAATAAAGACATCAATCAATGTGACAGTATGTACGATGTATAGTGATGGTTGCAAATTGTAATGTCTGCCCGCTAAAACACCGACTCTTAACGGAAACAATCCACCCGTATTTGTTCGCCAAAACACACCACCTTAGTGTCTGGATACATCATTCTCAGTCAGAGGTCGCTACAAGTGCTGCCCACATATTGCGCTTATCTTACTTGTGATACAAACATATACAAACTTACATTCAACTTCCTCTGATGTGTGGCTACGATCACCTGTCAACACCGTGCAAGACGCTGTTGTTTTTTCAGCGCGCACCTGTAGCCGGAAATAACCTGAGTCAGGAACAGTAACTCTCGCCACTTTGTTTTTATTTACATGCATTGTGACGTAGGTTTAAAACGAGGAAAACATCGCCTCAGTGGTAGTGATATGATCGCTTTGAAAATACATTTACCTCAGGAATGATCTAATAACTTGTCATGTATAGTTTTTTGTTTGTTTTGTTTTTATGCGCAAAGGGTGGGTGGTGTTAACGGTTAAGAACGTGCTTCATGATTGATATAGAGAATCTCACTCGAGTGCATTTTGATATCAAATATATCAACACGAGTTGATAAATGTGGAATTTTTTTTCCACTTTTTTTCAACGAGTGTTGATATATTTGATATCAAAAGACACGAGGGTAAGATTTTACTTATCATCCAACATCATTCTTCCAACTTTTTCAGTTTGTAGACAGTAATACGCAGTGTCTTGTAAAAAAGTACTGCTGACAGCTCCAGTGAAGCATTGGTGATGTCATTTGATTGTGACGTCATGGTAACAATGACGTCACGATGGTTCGCAAAATATTTTGATGCAATTTCATTGCCGCGATATCTACAATGTAGCTATCGCTTGATCTCACCCAAGCGATATATCCTGTGGGGGCCAGTTTTGGATGATAAAAGTGTGTTACTACATTCATGCATTGAAATAATTGTTTCACGCTCTCTATACTGTACTGCATTGTCGACGTAATACAATACCACTGTCCACTGCATACAAACCTCCTCGTGTTATGACGTCATATTAGTAATGACATAACAGTGCATCATTGTTTACGTCATAGTGACCTTGTAACAGCTTCTCGACATGGTATGTCGACTAATTATTAGTGCACAACACATCATACAGGATTTATACTAAAGAGAGTTACGTATGTCGAACAATATTTCATTTTGAGCCGTATTTAACAGAATTTTCAGCCATGTCACATTCAACAGTATACCAGCTGACGACGTATATAACGTACTCGACAACGGTGGAACCCTCTATTATGACAAAGCCAAGAGATCATATCGATAGTGAGTCTGGCAGCACAGCCCCGAGACCCGTGAAGATCATGCTTAGAAGTGGTCTTCAGCAACCCATACTTGCAGTAAGGGGCGACTAACGGGATCGGGTGGTGAGACTCGCTGACTTTATTGATGCATGTCATCGTACCCCAATTGCGCGGATCGATGCGCACGATGTCAATCACTGGATTGTCTGATCCAGACTCGATTATTTACAGACCGCCGCCGTATAGCTGGAATATTGCTGAGTGCAGCGTTAACAACACACAAATAAACACAGCCACGACATTGAACGCACTTGCAGTCGTTGATTATTGACGTTCGTGCGAACTGAAGGAAGTAGTGAACGAAACGCACGTAAAATGTTTAGCTGATTGCTATCACAAGAAGTACGTATTGGCAACCAACACAAGCTTGGCAGCAGCAAATTCATTATTTCTTCTTTGGAGTTTCCTCATCATATTCGGAAAAATAAGTAAATATTTGTTAGCAATTTCTGAAAACGAACAAGATAGGAGATCGGCCTCTGAAACAAGCGCGGTCAAAAATCAGTGTTGGATGTAACTGTCGACTACCTCGAGGTGACTACATGTCGACTACCTCGAGGTGACAACGGGGCAGTCGGGTAGCCTTGTGGTTAAAGCGTTCGCTCGTCACGCCGAAGATCCGGGTTCGATTCCCGACATGGGTACAATGTGTGAAGCCCATTTCTGGTGTCCCCCGCCGTGATATTGCTGGAATATTGCTAAAAGCGGCGTAAAACCATACTACCTCACTCACTCGAGGTCACTACAAGGCATCTGAATATGGTAGGAATCGGTTACCAGTGGAAACTATGACGTCCCCCGGTCGGAGTCCTGCTATGTGTCATTGTGCGGGGCAGGTCTCTGTGGCCTTACCGTCAGTCGCTGGTTTGTCAGACCAAGGCTCGATAACACTTTGTGAGCCGCCCTGATTTATCAGTTAGAGCTCTGACTGCAGGCCTATGTCATATGACTGCCATTGACGATAGACCTCCGTGATATATCAGGAGAGGTTCTTGCTGTCGATCACTGGTTCGCCTGTGATATAGCTGGAATATTGCTGGCTATAGGTCGGTGTGATATAGCTGGAATATTGCTGTCTACAGATCGGTGTGATATAGCTGGAATATTGCTGACTACAGGTCGGTGTGATATAGCTGGAATATTGCTGGCTATAGGTCGGTGTGATATAGCTGGAATATTGCTGTCTACAGGTCGGTGTGATATAGCTGGAATATTGCTGACCACAGATCGGTGTGATATAGCTGGAATATTGCTGTCTACAGGTCGGTGTGATATAGCTGGAATATTGCTGTCTACAGGTCGGTGTGATATAGCTGGAATATTGCTGACTACAGGTCGGTGTGATATAGTTGGAATATTGCTGGCTATAGGTCGGTGTGATATAGCTGGAATATTGCTGTCTACAGGTCGGTGTGATATAGCTGGAATATTGCTGACTCCAGGTCGGTGTGATATAGCTGGAATATTGCTGACTCCAGGTCGGTGTGATATAGCTGGAATATTGCTGTCTACAGGTCGGTGTGATATAGCTGGAATATTGCTGACTACAGGTCGGTGTGATATAGCTGGAATATTGCTGACTACAGGTCGGTGTGATATAGCTGGAATATTGCTGACTACAGGTCGGTGTGATATGGCTGGAATATTGCTGACTACAGGTCGGTGTGATATAGCTGGAATATTGCTGACTACAGGTCGGTGTGATATAGCTGGAATATTGCTGACTACAGGTCGGTGTGATATAGCTGGAATATTGCTGACTACAGGTCGGTGTGATATGGCTGGAATATTGCTGACTACAGGTCGGTGTGATATAGCTGGAATATTGCTGACCACAGGTCGTATAGTAGTGATATAACTGGAATACTGCTGACTACAGGTCTGTGCGACTTAGCTTGAATATCGCTGACTACAGGTCGGTGTGATGAATGTCAAACAATTATCTAAGCGACACAACGGTGACTGTCGTTGTTATAGGAGGATATACGTAAATTAATATATTCTTTCAAGAATTAAGCAGTGTTTCATGTAGATACATAGAGGTTATCACGCGAGTTTGTTTGGGGATGGTAATTATCCTGTATTAGGAATAAACATTATATTTAGCTAGCCTTGCCTGCTTGTCGGTCCAGTTGTATAAGGCACCTCAATTCGCTATGTAGTATTGTGTCCTTTGGGCGAGCCTGAAACCCAATATTCATGGGTTCGAATCCAGGTTCGCCTTGATTATATTTCTTGGTTTAGCAGCAACCTACCAGTTTTAATGAATTTCTTGGTAAACGTCTAAGACCTGCATCATTTTCGATAGTCCCCCTGTGCTGACACGCCGTGATATAACTGGAATACTGTTCAAAGTGACCTAAAACTCAAACTCACTGACTCGGATGGGACGGGTGTGCCCAGCACACAATGCCGAAATATAATTCAGTATGTTCATGTTTTTAATAAATATGTACATCATTACACCTTCAAGTTGGTACTTAAGGGAAATGTCTCAAGCAAATGTCTTAGCACAGAGACTATAGCATGTTCTAGTGCCGCGTGTTGATAGTTTCTGTAGCTTTAGTTTCAGGCGCTGACATGTTTCCTTCATCACACATTATTACCCGCTCCTGTTGGACATCTCGAGACATGTTTATATCCAGGTCATGGTCATTAATATGCAACAAGACATTCGCTTCACGTCGGTATTCGAAACCCCCTTCATCTCACTTCCGGATTCGACACACTGAGCATCATACTTAAAGGGTTCGACACCCCGGTCTTCTCATTTCCGGGTTCGACACCCCGTCATCTCACTTCCGGGTTCGACAACCCCCACATCTCACTTCCGTGTTCGACACCCAAGCCATCTCACTTTCGGGTTCGACACCTTAGCCATCTCACTTCCGGGTTCGATACCCCGTTCACCTCACTTCCGGGATCGACACCCCGGTCAACTCACTTCCGGGTTCGACACCCCGGTCATTTCACTTCCGGGTTCAACATGTAGGTCAGCTCACACACGGTGTGATCAACGTTTTCGTTTGCACTAACAATCGTCATAATCACAGTCACACTGAACGAGTCTGACGAATGCACACTGCACATATACAGACACAGTGAACACTCGTACCTAGAGCATCGCCCGCTCCACACAGGTCTTGCCTGTTTCGTCAGGGGAGTTCATGATAGCATCAATGGAGGGATGTGTAATAGGGAATGACAAATGTAATGCCAACGTTTCTTAGTTCATTATTCACTGAGCAAAGAATTCATATGTCGTTGTTTTTTGGACGTTTTGGTTTTCTGTCCGTCTTTTACAATATCCGGGAAGTGGTTCTGTTCAACTGGTGCGGAGCCGTGGAGGAGCCAGGACATGACCAAGTCTTGGGACGGGTACTGTCCAGGCAGTCTGGGGCGCTTGTGCGCCACAACTGGGGGGTGCTTCGTGGTCAGACTTTCATGTTGTTTTGTTTCAAAATTAAATTTATGAACACTTTGTCTCACTGATTTGTCTATGAATGACCTTGAGCTTTGACCAAGGTGACTAGGAACCTTGCCGCCTTGATTGTTTGTGGAGTAAATCAGATCTTGTCGTCTGCCTTGTTTGGAATGCATCAAACATGGCGACGCTCGGATTTGAGGCAAAATGTTGGAAGGGTCATCCCTCAAGAAGTTTGCACGAGCCACTTGACTGATGACGTCCTCTGAATCCTCATTATGATCAGTGCCGAGATCCATCGCGCTGAAACATACCAAGACAAACGTTAGGTACTGAACAGTGACCTCAGTGAGATCCATCGAGATCCATCAAGTCACTATCCTCAAACAATAGTATATGTTGTATCGCCGTGGTGAAACTCGTAAAACACACATCAATTCTCAAACAATATTACTTGTTGTATTACATGCTGGCTACACGTAATATGAAACAACCACCTTCTGTACACCGTCAGCCTACACGTAATATGAAACCACCACCTTCTGTACACCGTCAGCCTACACGTAATATGAAACCACCACCTTCTGTAGACCGTCAGCCTACACGTAATATGAAACCACCACATGTACACCGTCAGCCTAAACGTAATATGAAACAACCACCTTCTGTACACCGTCAGCCTACACGTAATATGAAACAACCACCTTCTGTACACCGTCAGCCTACACGTAATATAAAACAACCACCTTCTATAGACCGTCAGCCTACACGTAATATGAAACAACCACCTGTACACCGTCAGCCTACACGTAATATGAAACAACCACCTTCTGTACACCGTCAGCCTACACGTAATATAAAACAACCACCTTCTATAGACCGTCAGCCTACACGTAATATGAAGCAACCACCTGTACACCGTCAGCCTAAACGTAATATGAAACAACCATCTTCTGTACACCGTCAGCCTACACGTAATATGCAACAATCACCTGTAGACCGTCAGCCTTCACGTAATATGAAACAACCACCTTCTTCAACCGTCAGCCTACACATAATATGAAACAACCACCTCCTGTACACCGTCAGCCTACACGTAATATGAAACAACCACCTCCTGTACACCGTCAGCCTTCACGTAATATGAAACAACCACCTTCTTCAACCGTCAGCCTACACATAATATGAAACAACCACCTTCTTCAACCGTCAGCCTACACATAATATGAAACAACCACCTCCTGTACACCGTCAGCCTACACGTAATATGAAACAACCACCTTCTTCAACCGTCAGCCTACACATAATATGAAACAACCACCTCCTGTACACCGTCAGCCTACACATAATATGAAACAACCACCTCCTGTACACCGTCAGCCTAAACGTAATATGAAACAACCACCTCCTGTACTCCGTCAGCCTACACGTAATATGAAACAACCACCTTCTTCAACCGTCAGCCTACACATAATATGAAACAACCACCTCCTGTACACCGTCAGCCTACACGTAATATGAAACAACCACCTGTTGTACACCGTCAGCCTACACGTAATATGAAACAATCACCTCCTGTACACCGTCAGCCTACACGTAATATGAAACAACCACCTGCTGTACACCGTCAGCCTACACGTAATATGAAACAACCACCTCCTGTACACCGTCAGCCTACACGTAATATGAAACAACCACCTTCTGTACACCGTCAGCCTACACATAATATGAAACAATCACTTCCTGTACACCGTCAGCCTTCGCGTAATATGAAACAACCACCTTCTGTACACCGTCAGCCTACACGTAATGTGAAACAATCACTTCCTGTACACCGTCAGCCTTCACGTAATATGAAACAATCACCTCCTGTACACCGTCAGCCTTCACGTAATATGAAACAACCACCTGTACACCGTCAGCCTACACGTAATATGAAACAACCACCTTCTGTACACCGTCAGCCTACACGTAATATGAAACAATCACTTCCTGTACTCCGTCAGCCTTCACGTGATATGAAACAATCACCTTCTGTACACCGTCAGCCTTCACGTAATATGAAACAACCACCTGTACACCGTCAGCCTACACGTAATATGAAACCACTTTCACTTTATCATTGTTTCCGCGGTAATGGTTCATCAGCGGATCGATCACAAAATCTGATAATCTCATTACTTCAATACCACGCCTTATCGATATGTAATCAATTACAGCTAGTATCGAACTACAGATCTATAGCGGCACGCGCCCTGGGCTTTGTACGGGGCCAGGCATTAGCGATTGCCTTGTGTTGTGTGTTGTGTGTTGTGTGTTGTTGCGCTGACAGAAGTTGCTTGCCACATGCCTGTTAGTCTCAATTCTAAGAGAACAAAATCTCAAGCTAAGACACGCGGGATTCACAGAGCGAGAATGATACCCAGGACACCACCTTATTTGCCAACCATTGTGTTTCTATTGGGCATATTAAACACGTTATATATTCTTCATACTTGTCCAATGGTTGTGGTACCAGTGATATCGTGTTACATGTGATAGAAACGTAACATGATATTTGGCACTTGTCTTGTCCAATGGTCGTGTTACATGTGATATAAACGTAACATGATATATGGCACTTGTCTTGTCCAATGGTCGTGTTACATGTGATATAAACGTAACATGATATATTGCACTTGTCTTGTCCAATGGCCGTGTTACATGTGATATAAACGTAACATGATATTTGGCACTTGTCTTGTCCAATGGTCGTGTTACATGTGATATAAACGTAACATGATATATTGCACTTGTCTTGTCCAATGGCCGTGTTACATGTGATATAAACGTAACATGATATTTGGCACTTGTCTTGTCCAATGGTCGTGTTGCATGTGATAGAAACGTAACATGATATATGGCACTTGTCTTGTCCAAAGGTCGTATTACATGTGATATAAACGTAACATGATATATGGCACGTGGCTTATCTTGTCCAATGGTCGTGTTACATGTGATATAAACGTAACATGATATATGGCACGTGTCTTGTCGTCCAATGGTCGTGTTACATGTGATATAAACGTAACATGATATATGGAACGTGTCTTGTCGTCCAATAGTCGTGTTACACGTGATATAAACGTAACATGTTATATGGCACGTGTCTTGTCGTCCAATGGTCGTGTTACATGTGATATAAACGTAACATGATATATGGCAGGTGTCTTGTCGTCCAATGGTCGTGTTACATGTGATATAAACGTAACATGATATATGGCACGTGTCTTGTCGTCCAATGGTCGTGTTACATGTGATAGAAACGTAACATGATATATGGCACGTGTCTTGTCGTCCAATGGTCGTGTTACATGTGATATAAACGTAACATGATATATGGCACGTGTCTTGTCGTCCAATGGTCGTGTTACATGTGATATAAACGTAACATGATATATGGAACGTGTCTTGTCGTCCAATGGTCGTGTTACATGTGATATAAACGTAACATGTTATATGGCACGTGTCTTGTCGTCCAATGGTCGTGTTACATGTGATATAAACGTAACATGATATATGGCACGTGTCTTGTCGTCCAATGGTCGTGTTGCATGTGATATAAACGTAACATGTTATATGGCACGTGTCTTGTCGTCCAATGGTCGTGTTACATATGATGTAAACGTAACATGATATATGGTACGTGTCTTGTCGTTCAAAGGCAGTGTTACATATGATGTAAACGTAACATGATATATGGTACGTGTCTTGTCGTCCAATGGTCGTGTTACATGTGATATAAACGTAACATGATATATGGCACTTGGCTTGTCCAATGGTCGTGTTACATGTGATATAAACGTAACATGTTATATGGCACGTGTCTTGTCGTCCAATGGTCGTGTTGCATGTGATATAAACGTAACCGATATATGGTACGTGTCTTGTCGTCCACTGGTCGTGTTACATATGATGTAAACGTAACATGATATATGGTACGTGTCTTGTCGTCCAATGGTCGTGTTACATGTGAATTAAACGTAACCGATATATGGTACGTGTCTTGTCGTCCACTGGTCGTGTTACATATGATATAAACGTAACATGATATATGGTACGTGTCTTGTCGTCCAATGGTCGTGTTACATATGATATAAACGAAACATGATATATGGTACGTGTCTTGTCGTCCAAAGGTCGTGTTGCATGTTAATTAAACGTAACATGTTATATGGCAGGTGTCTTGTCGTCCAATGGTCGTGTTGCATGTGATATAAACGTAACCGATATATGGTACGTGTCTTGTCGTCCAATGGTCGTGTTACATATGATATAAACGAAACATGATATATGGTACGTGTCTTGTCGTCCAATGGTCGTGTTACATATAATATAAACGTAGCATGATATTGGGTACGTGTCTTGTCGTCCAATAGTCGTGTTACATGTGAATTAAACGTAACAGGATATATGGCACTTGTCGTCCAATGGTCGTGTTGCATGTGAATGCACCAGAAATTGGCTTCACACACTGTACCCATGTCGGGAATCGAACCCGGGGTCTTCGGCGTGACGAGCGAACGCTTTAACCACTAGGCTACCCGACCGCCCCTAGTTGTTTAAGTTTCTGGAAGAGTATTAAGAACATATTAAGTATACATGTCAGATATATATTTATCTGGATTTTTTCTTTGACCCCGTGGCGGAATATGCCTATTGTCCGACTGTGGGGACAAGGGGTATAGCAATGAATGACGTCACTGTACAACCATGACAACATTTGAAGTTCGCCCTCACCCCAACCCACCTCCGTATTTCCCTATCTGCGACTTGCTTGAATTGTACAAACATATTAAGTGTTCCGTCTGAAGTAGAAATCTCTTCAACACCACATTCCAAATCTAGGGTAAAAACCTATACGTAAATGGACGCAAGCACAAACAATACGGGATATTAGAATTAAGAACAGCTTGAGTAAGTAGTAGCCGAGCGCCGTGTGAGGGTTATATAAGTGTATAAACACCACCAGCCTGTTGTATAACTGAAACCGAGGCGCCGTCAGCCTGTCACCCTCTGATTGTGTGCGAACCCGGTGCAGGTGCTTGGTGCTTGGTGCTTGAATACAGTTCGCATACACACGTATATGTGATCGGTCGACGAACACAGTGCACATATAATATAGGTGTTTGGTGGTTGAATACTGTTCGCATATACATGTATAGGTATTTGGTGGTTGAACACTGTTCACATTTACATGTATAGGTGCTTGGTGGGGGTATACTGTTCGCATATACATTTATATGTGCTCGGTCGTCGAGCAC